GGTCCTTACTTCCTGTCCTGCGGGTCCAGCGCGCAGAAGATGACGCTGCTCACGGGGTAGTGCCTCCGGAAGAAGAGCCTGCGGGGACACGGGAGGGATGGTGACGCACCGTGCAGGCCCCACGGGGACACGGGGCAGGAGCTCAGTTCAGGCTTCCCCGGGGGCCGGGGGGTGGGGAAGGGCAGAGCCTGTGCTCATCGGGGTTGGCAGGTGTGTGACACAGGCGGGGGGGGTGCAGGAGAGGTGGCACGAGACAGAAAATGTCCCCAGGAACTGCCCACCACTCCCCAGACGGGTCCCGTCAGACGTGACGGATCCCACGGCGTGCTGTAAACTCTAAAGGGCTGTACGCACTGGATTCCCCGGGACGTCCTGCTGACGCTGAGCGTTGCTGGGACGACCTTGTATGGGGATGACCCTGGACACATCCAGGTGTGAGCAGCGGCCCCGCCCCGCAGCCCTGCCCCACAGCCCGTCCGCACTCACTTCCTCTGGTTGTCGGTCAGCGTGATGCCCTGGGCCGACACCTTGAAGTGCACCACCGTGGACAGGGGTGGCGGCTGCTGGACCAGGGTGATGCTCAGGGCCTTCTGGATGGCCTGGTGGCCTGTGAGCGACTCCATCTCCACAGAGTTCAGGTACCACACATTGCAGGCTACAGGATGGGGCAGAGTGTCAGTGCACCAGGGACGGTGCCCTGGGCTCATGGACAACTCGACCCGTGGCCTCTGCCAGGTGCACCCAAGGCAGACGCCCTCTGCCCCTGATTCCGAGGCGCAGAGAGTGAGGGGCCCAGGGACACAGAGATGAAACACATCACGGGGGCCACAGGGACGCTCCCGCCACACTATTTGTGCCTGGTGTCCCCGTGAGGCTGGGGCACCTCCTCAGCGTCACTGTGGCCCGGGTGGGACAGGAGCCTGACCACAGTGGGAGTGAAGGACACATCCGAGAGGGGGATGTGCAGCCTGGACCCCCAATCACGGCCCTGTGGGGAGCTCCGCGTGAGGCGGGCGCCTGGGAGCAGCTGTGCAGGGACGGCCGATGGCCGTGACTCGGTTGCCGGGAGCTGCCCCGAGCTCGCTGCCTGCAGAGCTGCGACAATGTGGGTGATTTTGGAAAATCTGAATCAAACAGGGCGGCCAATCTGGACAATGACTTGGCCACATTTATCGGATCAAAAGAACCACCCGCCCCCGATGGGTCACCTAGAGGTCTCACTTCCGATAGGAGACAAAGGACACATCTGTGGCCCGTGAGGCAGCCAACCTGGAGGTGTGGACACCTGGCCACGTTGCATTGTAGAGGGAAACGTTAGAAACGAGGGGGGTGGTTAAATTCCCCCTCAGTGGAACACCCAGCAACCAGCAAACGGTCACCATGGAAACGGGCGGCGTGGAAAGCATTGGTGGTTAACGGGAGAAGCAGAATGAAAGCGTCTCTGTGCCGAGGGAGCTGGGAAATGAGAAGCATGTGTGCGGGTGGACGGGGCTGGAAGGCTGCCGGGAACGCTGAGGGCGGTTTGCTTTCAGGAGAGTGGATATTCTGCCCTTGATTTCATTACGGCCCCTGTAACGCTAACCCGGCAGTGAGACAAGAAAAAAGAAAATTCTAGTCTAACGACAATGAGATCCCACGGAGTTAGCACAACCCGAATCGGGGGCACACTGGCAGCCACAGGCGGGGCTGCCCGAACCCCAGCTCCCTGGCAGAGGCGCCCGTGGCCTCTGATACGCAGCAGAAGGAGACTGCATTTGGGGGCCTCTCTCCCCACAGGTGGGGCCACGTGTGACCACTGGAGCAGAGATGGAGCTTGGCCTCCGGTGAGCATCGGGGCAGCCTGAGCCCCTCCTCTCCTGGCCCGGACAGGTGGGCCTGCAGAGCCAGGCTGTGTCTGTCCCATGGGCCTGGCCACAACATCCAGCTCCATGTGGCAAGTGCCCTTGTCCAGGGAAGCAGAGCTGCGATGCCCAGTGTGACACCGGACAAAGAGCCACAGCCCAGTGTGGAGTACTCTGTGCGAATGACTGGGTTGCTCTGAATGCGATTTGACAACACGTGCACAGGCTCTCGCCCAGCCCTGCGACCTGGGAACGTGGGTCCTAAGGCAGCAATGCAGAGAAAAGAGGTAATGAAGGAAATGTGGCCTTTCACGCAGCGCCCGAGGTCCCGAGACGCTAGAAACAGCCAAATGAGCGACCACAGGGAGCTGGGCCACATGACCGACTGCTACCCAGCCACTAACAAGGGGACCCACCACGTGTCTGCAAAACCACGGGAGAGCTTGCCATGCTAACGAGAGGGGGCACGTCCAGGGTCTGTGTGTGGGTAATGGGCCCAGGAATAACTCAGTCTCCTTTCTTTTCTGCACCTTCCCTTTTTAGCTTAAAGAACACATATTACTTCATACAGAAAACATACTTTACAGTCCAGTGAGTTAAAATCACAACCCTGAGGCTCATGGGAAGTGTGCCAGGAGTCTGGTAAAATGCCTCTCCAGGCTTAGACTGCATTCCGATGCTTCGACACAAACCAATTAAGAACCAAGGCTACAAATGTAAACAGAAATATCTCAGAGATGGAACAGACTCGCACTCGGTGTCCAACAAAAAGGGTTAAGCTGAAGAGATTTGAAAGTTTATGCCCCGTGCTACGAGCCACCCAGCCCTGCTGATTCTTACAGTGAGGAAACTGCACGAGATAATCCCAGAGGGCCGCTGCGAGTCCAGGAGTTGAGGATTCTACGTGAATTAGGACAACAGATGAAATTCAGTTTAAGAAAAAGCCCCACTCCATTTCCTGCGGCCATCAGAGGTCGGACCACGGAACACCTCCCTACCGGGGTCGCTCTGCACCTGTCTGAGCCACCTCTTGGGCCTCCCAGGGGACAGGTGCGGCTGCTCTGCGTCCTGATTTGATTACCTGTCTGGTCAGCCATGAAGGCACCTGGACAGAAACTGGTGCCTCTTGATGTGTTTTAGAGCCAAGAGATTTTAAAAGGACACAAACGTGACAGTCATAAGCTAACCCCCCTCTGTAAATGCCCAACTCAGGTAATTAAGTAAGACCTCAGGGTCTGACTGAAATCTTGTCCCCTGAAAGGCCAACTTTGTAAGAAAACAAAACATTTAGAGGTACTGATATGTGCTACATATTATTCAAAAAGATGGTAAACAGACTTAAAAATTGTAAGACAGAATAGAACCAAAAACTTTAGTATCTAAAGATAAAGGCTACTGCCGGGCCAGCGTTTCTCAGTGGTTGAATGTCAACCTATGAACCAGAAGGTCATGGTTCAATTCTCGGTCAGGGCACATGCCCAGGTTGCAGGCTCGATCCCCAGTAGGGGGCATGCAGGAGGCAGCCGATTAATGACTCTCATCATTGATGTTTCTCTCTCTCTCTCTCTCTCTCTCTCTCTCTCTCTCTCTTTCCGAAATCAATAAAAAAACACATTTAAAAAAATTAAAATAAAAGCTACTACAAGCCCTGGTGATTCCAGGGACCACCTGACAGGAACACGGGGACAGTGAGCTCGTCCCTGGCTTTCCTACATATCAACAGAGAGCAGGTGGTATTTGAAGTTAAAAACACAACAACATTTACACCAACACCCCCCAAAATACCTAGGTATACATCTAATAAAATATGTACACGATTTATATGAGGGAAGCTACAAAGTCTGATAAAAATATCAAAGACGTGAATACATGGGGAGGTAACCCATGTTCATGGACAGGGTGACTCAATATGATCATTTTTTCCCAACTGGATTTGCAGATTCAGCGCAATCCCCATAAAAATCCCAGCAGGTTATTTTATAGACGTCGACAAACTGATTCTAAAGTTTATATGGAGGCAGGAGACCCAGGACAGCCGACACTGTGTGGAAGCAGAAGATGGAGGACAGACACTGTCCAACTTCAAGACCGACTACAAAGCTACAGTGATCGAGGCCGTGTGGTCTCAATGAGAGAACAGACACACAGGTCAATGGGGCAAAAGAAAGCCCAGAACCAGGCCCCACAAATATAGTCAACTGATCTTTCACAAAGGACTACAGGCAACTGGAGCGAAGACACGCTTTTCAGCCAATGATGCTGGAACAACTGGACATCTATCTATCATCTATCTATTTAAAACAATGAATCTACACACAGATTTCACACCCTTCCCCAAAATTAGCTCAAAATGGATCACAGATTTACATATAAAATGCAACACTATAAAACTCCTAAAAGATAACATAGGAGAAAACCTAGAGGACCCTGGGCTTAGCGATAACTTTTTTTTAAAAAAAATATGTCTTTATTGATTTCAGAGAGAGTGAGCGGGGAGAGAGAAACATCAATAATGAGAGAGTCATTGATCGGCTGCCTCCTGTATGCTCCCTACTGAGGATTGAGCCTGCAACCCGGGTATGTGCCCCAACCGGGAACTGAACTACAATCTCCTGGATCCTAGGTCAATGCTCAACCGCTGAGCCACACCAGCCGGGCTTAGTGATAACTTTTTAGATACAACACCAAAGAAAGAATCGGTAAACTGGATTTCATTGAAATTAAAGATTTCTGCTCTGTAAGAGGCGCTGTCAGGAGATTGAGAAAGCGATAAAGGACCGTGATCCAGAACATGCAAAGAATCTTAAAACTTAACAGCCAGGCAATCACCTCATTCTTAAAAAAATGGCCCAACGACCTTAATAGACATCTCACTGCAGAAGACAGAAAGTGAGTAAGTTTATGACAAGATGCTCAGTATCACACGCACTGAGAAAATGCAGATCCAAACAACAACCAGACACTGCTAAGCACACGTTAGAGCGGCCAGGCCCTGAGCACCGACAACTTCTGATGCCAGGAGGACAAGGAGCGGCAGGGGTCTCACCCGCTGCTGGTGGGGACGCAGGTGGCGCAGCCACTATGGAAGACAGTCTGGTGGTTTCTTACAAAATTAAACATACTTTTGCCATGAATCCAGCAGTCTCGCTCCCTGGTATTTACCCAAATGAGCTGAAAAGTTGTGTTCACACAAAGCGTTCACAGGGACGATGTTTACAGCAGCTTTATTCATAGTTGCCAAAACTAGAAAGCAACCGAGATGCCCTGCAGTAGGTGATGGGTGAGCAAACTGTGGTCCATCCAGACAACAGAATATCATTTAGCACTAAAAAGAGATGAGCTGCCCGGCCGGGCGTGGCTCAGCGGTTGAACGTCAACCTGGGATCCAGGAGACTGGGGTTCGATTCCCGGTCAGGGCACATGCCCTGGTTGCGGGCTTGATCAATGACTCTCTCATCATTGATGTTTCTGTCTCTCTCTCTCCCTCTCCTTTCCTCTCTCTGAAATCAATAAAGATATATTTAAAAAATAAAAATAAAAAAATAAAATAAAAAGAGATGAGCTATGAAGCCAGAATGACATGGAGGAGCTTTAAATGCGTAGGATTAAGTGAAAGAAACCGTTTGAAAAGGCTACATAATGTGTGATTCCAACCATATGACACTCTGGAAAAGGCAAAGCTATGGGGACAGGAAAAGCTCAGGGGCTGCCTCAGGTGGAGGGGAGGGATGAACAGGCAGAGCAGAGAAACTACTGTCTGATACTACAACGGTGGGTTACCTGTCACTATACATTCGTCCAGGCCCCTAGAACGCACACCAAGAGTGACCCCTGAAGGAAACCGGGGGCTCTGGGTGGTGGCGTGTCAATGCAGGTGCATCAGCTGTGACACCTGTCCCACCTGGTGGGGGATGTTTACGAGTGCGCACGCGGGGCAGGGTGATACAGGCGACTCTCAGTAATTTCCGCCCCATTTTGCTGTAAACCTAAAAATGCTCTAAAAAAATAAAGTCTATTAATAGAAGAAAAAAAAAAAGGTGCCCTGGGGAGGCTGCCAGAGGGGGGGTTGTGTCATCCTGGGTGGTGGGCAGCACCGTTGGCTCCTTCGGATGACAGCTGGAGGGGCAGTTCACCCCGTCCTATCTCAAAACGTCTCCCCCACACTAAACGTGGGACATGGCATTAATCCCACTGAATCTAACCGTGCTCCAGTCAGAGGGATATTCTGGCCGTAATGGGAAAGGAACCTTCGAACACACAGAAGGACAGGAAACCCAGAGACCAGGGCGAGGGCGGAGGCTGTGACCCTGAATCCCGCTGCCCCAATGACCAGGGCGAGGACAGGGACCTGCGAGACTGACCTGCCCCCTGCTTCAGCAGCTCGGCCGCGGAGTTGGCTGCCGTTTGGGGAGAACTTTCTGCTATTTCCTCCAGTGGATCTGCGGGAAGGAACAAGAAAAGCCCGGGTGAACAGCACAGCTGAGATGTGGGTGCAGCGAGGCCACCTCTCCTGTCCTTGACCTGGGTCAACCACTCAGCATCCGTAGGGTTCACCCACGGAGCACAGTGAGGAAAAGCCGCCTGGCCCGACTTTCCCACTGGACCTTCGTGGATTCCGACACCCACGTGGCTGCCGGGTCCCAGGTGACGCCTCTCGGAGCGCCAGGGCAGGGCCCGGCCACGTACCTCGGTCTGGGATGAGCAGCTTGCAGGGCAGTGCCAAGGGGGTGATGGAGTGCTGGCACACCAAGGCTGTCAGGCTCCCTGCGAGCGGAGAACAGAGGAGCATTAACAGGATCCTGAGAGGGCTTCACTCACCAGCAGATCTCCCCGCTGCAGAAGGAGCGCCTGGGAATTCCAGCAGCTAACACACTGCATTGGAGGGACTTTGTGCAAAAACTTCACAAAGATTCCTGGCAGAAGCACATCGTCGCCAATTTGTAAGAATAAACGGCAGCCTGTGAGTCAGACGGTGGCAACCTCTCCCCGTCTCTGGACGGGGCTCCCAGGGCTCTGGGTGAGTGCACCCAGGCCTCCCCCGGCCGCTCAGGGCCTTTCCCACAAGCCTGCGGGTGGGTGGCTTCACCTCTCGGAGAGGAAGGCCCGCGTCTCTCCTGCAACCGTGGGATGGGCCGTGCTCAGGCTCCAAGCTCGGCCACACTCCCTGCCCCGCCGGCTCTCCCAGCCCCAGCCCCTGCTTGTTGTCTTCTGGGTGCCGAGAAACATTCCAGAACAATTACTACCCGGTTTATCTTACAGGTGGTAGCAGGTGAGAGGAACCTCAGAACCGGGGCTTAAGGAAACGCTGTGAGTGACGCTCACCAGAGCGACGGCCAGCTCTCGGGGCCCCGTGTTCCAGCCGCTCCAGCCACTTACCAAAGTAGGGCTCATTCGAGCAGCCTTTCAACCGCACCCCCTTCGAGGTGCACTCGATCAAAAAGTGCCGAACCAGCTCGTTGGCCAGGTCTCCAGCTGTGGTAGGAGGTGTAATAGAAAGAAACAGAGTTTTCAGAAACCGAGAGCGTGGGAAGGCGGGAGCGGGCACAGCAGTCACAGGGAGGGCTGCCCAGAGAGGCCGCCTGTGACAGATCCGACACATCCACACACGACCCGCTGGTCTCGGTCCCCTGGGCAGGGTGCGCAGAGCCAGACGGGAGGGAGGTGCTGTCCCTGCTGTGAGGAGGGACAACGTAAGGACAGCAGCCCTCCAGGCTCACGTAACCCTGGTGCTGGGACAGCATCATGCACACAGTGTGTCCTTTATATAAGAAAATGGGGGTGAGCGCCACCTGCAGGAGGAGACAGTCACCGCGGGGACCGAGGGGAGAGCGTGACACCTGGCAGAGGCCTTGGACTGCTGCGCCCACCTCTGGACAATGGGAGGATCACCCATTCAAAGCAATAAAGAAACGAAATTTACAAATAATTAACCTTTTGAACAAAAATCGTGCTTAATAGAATGCACCCGAAAAAAAAATACTAAGGAGAACACCTGTGGGCGCCAGTCTAAGTCACCTACGTCTCATGAGCAGACACAGAACGAGAGAGAGGGAAAGGAGGGGTCGGTCCTGGGGCACCCACCTTTCTTGTTCAGCTGCAGGACAGAAGGCGGGGGTGTGGCCACCTTCATGGCCAGGCCATAGGCGCCTCGGAAGGAGTGGCTGTCCCGGACGATGAAGGACCCGGGCTCCTTGTCCTTCAGCATGGCGATGGCTAGAGGGGAGCAGAGAGACATGAGGGTCTGCTGGGCACACGTGTTTCCACCATGATGCCCCGAGAAGGCTCTCTGCCCCTCCTTTTGCAAACTGGGCCAGTGGGAGTGGGCCAGGATCCCCTCTCGGGAGGAACACGTGCACTCGGGCCCTCAGGGAGGGCTTTGCGATGAGATGTTTTTTTGTGGGAGCCTGGTGAGGATTTAGACACACAGGGTGGCGCCTCCCACTGGGTCACACGACCCCACTAATCCCGCAGCACCCATGAAGCCCAAATGCAGACCCCACCTGACAGCCCAGGTCCCAGTACACACAGCGTGGCGGGTGGGACGTGGGGCAGAGGCTGCCAACTTTCAATAGAAGGAAAGAAGTTTCCAATCATAAAGAGATGCCCCCCAAAGTTGCTCAAAATTCAGTATTTCATACAAATCCCAAGATCTGCCCAAGGGGATGGCAAAAAAGTGGCTGTAGGCTATCGTCCCATGGCTCCGTGGCCACTGCGGCCAGCTGTGCCCAGTCTNATCCCAAGATCTGCCCAACGGGATGGCAAAAAAGTGGCTGTAGGCTATCGTCCCATGGCTCCGTGGCCACTGCGGCCAGCTGTGCCCAGTCTGACGGGGCCGGGGAGTCTTTCTCCACATGACCATCATCAATGGCTCAGGGCTGACCGCTGAGCCTGGCGTATCTATGCTGTTTTTCCTAGGTGACCCTGGGGTCATCTAGCTCATAACTGTTCCCTAAAAAAATACCCTCCCCTCCCTGCTGGGAATCTGGCACCCAGGGTCCTCTGCTCACAAGAGAGGAAGAGGGATGCATTGGGGTGACGGCAACCTCAGGGTTGATGCTGCCCAGGCGTTGGCCAGAAGCTCGTCTGGTAAACTGACACATCTCATAATTTCTCTCATAGACTTATATGTTTATAAGAAAAAAAAGAGAAAACTTGGGATTTCAAACATAAAGTAAAACAGAATCCCAGCCCTGAAAACGTCATCATTCTGTGAAACCCAAGGAAGTAAACCAGTGAGTGGCAGGAACTGTGTCATGCTCAGTGACGTCAGCGTCCTGTCTGAGGCCCCTACTCCAGCTGGAGGCCGGCCCTGCCCCTGCCCCTGGCAGGACAAGGCCACTAGGCAGGAGCTGGCAGGACAGAGGGACAGAAAACACGCACTCTCCAAGGGGAGCTGGTTTGGTGTGGCCCCAAGAGGGCACAGGCCAGACCCTGGGGGGCGGCCAGCCTCACCCCCGCTGCCCCCACCTACCCAGTGTGACAATGGCGGGGAGGCCAGGCAGGGCCGTGGGGCCAGTCACACACCTCTAGCATATTTTCTAGATGTGGGGGCTGCACGGGCATTACTTTTTAAAGTAGTGAAAAGATCACTCACGTTAATTATGTTTTTGCATTGTGACACACATCGCCAGGGCGTTAAGTCACAATTTTATTCCACTTTGGTGGAGAGAGGTGCTCCTCCCGGGGCCTGGACTTGGGAGCAGCACAGGGGAGGCGGTCGGCCCGAAAGCAAGGCCACCCGCTCTGCCTGAGGAGGGAGCTTGGGGACGTCAGGCTCTGCACTGAAACAGGAATGAGCCGGCGAGCCCAGCCGCTGAGGAGGTAGGACTGAGCGTGTCCCGTCCCGAGGGCCACGGGCCTGGGTCTCTCCCTGTCCTGTGGAAGAGGACAAGCCATCCTCGGCCCCCCTCTCCCAGCAACCAGCGCCTCCAGGGACAGGGAGAGGCAAAGTCCCAGAGACTGCGGCCGGGACAGCTGTGTCCAATCCCCTTTTGCTGCAGCTGGTTCCCTCCTGAGGTATTTTTATGTTCGCCTCAGAAACACCCCAGGGAATTAATGTCCCCACAGCAACAGGGGACCCATGAGGCTCCAAAACAGGCTGGCGGGATTTTCTTTCGGAAATTTCACTGTGGCTTTGATAAAAGGCAGGCACATCCGACAGTTAAAACCAAACAAAGCCCCTGGCAGCTCCGCCACGTGGGGAACCTGGCACACCCACGGGACACTCCTTGGTGAGGTTGTCGTCCTTATAAAATGCCTAGAAGTTACATTTCAGAGCTCAGCTCTAACATCCCTGCCCAGGGCATGTGGCAGCTATTTTGAGATGAGCTCCACCCAAGGGAACCTTTTAAACATGTGGCTAGGATTAGACTCCCCCAGGCAGGCTCTGTCACCTGCAGCCACACCCACCTGCTCCCTGCTAGACCCCGGCTGTCGGGTCAGGGGAGGGGCAGCCCGGCCAGCCCAGCCCAGCCCCTGGCCTACAGGGCTGCTCTGGTGGGAAGACCGGGTCCACATGGAATATGCTAGAACATGGTGCTTGACCAGCACCGGTCAGTCTGTCCAGTTCGCCAAGGGCCGAGGCGCTGGAGCTGACGGCCACAATCATGGGGATGGGGATGGAGCCCTGACCTGTGCTTGGTGCCCAGCTGGGCCACAAAGGCCAATTCGGGGGGTGAGGAGTCTCTGTGCCTCGGCTCCCCCATGTTAAGGGACAATAGTGTCGTTGAGCTCGTGAAGAAAAGCCCATTCTCACACTGTGGCTATCTGCTGAACTGAGCAGAGAATTCAGACAGGAAGCTGGACAGTGGTTTGCAGCCACTTAATTCTTTGTCCAGGCATCTCTGGGAAACCCCGAGGCTGAGCCCGCAGCACAGGGCAGCCGGGTGGCCTGTGTGCCCCCCTTCCCGGGCTAAGCCTGACACCCCCTTCTCAGCGTCNCTGCATGGGCACCCGGGTGGCCTGTGTGCCCCCCTTCCCGGGCTAAGCCTGACACCCCCTTCTCAGCGTCACCAGGAAGCCCCCGGGGACCTTCATTTCCAGAGTCTTGGCGGCGTCTCCCGGGCTCCTGGGCGGGTCACATACCGTCCTCTCTGAGTGATGCCCTGGGAGTAGCGCCCCCAGGTGGCCGAGTCACGGCCTCTACGGGGGACTCAGGTCCCGTGGTGAGTGGAGGCCAGCATGCCGCGGGGACCGTGAGTCCTGAGGAAACGACTGCTGTTCACCCAGAGGGGCCCGCCCGGCTCCAAGGCGGACACCTCGTCTACTCAGGCTCCGGCAAAGAGTGACCCATGACCGAGCTGCTCGGAACTGCAGATGACCTCAGGTCCCGAGCTGCCGAAGCTGCGCCAGACCAGGTGGCGCGTGTGCGAGGCGGTCTGTGCAGCCCACCGGCCACCTGTCACTCAGCGCTCGGCTCTGCCACGCGGGGAAACGCAGGTGACGTGCAGCCGCCCTGGAGAGACACCTGTTCCTCCTCCTGACCCTCGTCTCCCGTCACGGCTGCTCTGACCCCTCCGTCCTGGGCACGTGCCCCCCCGGCCCCCCTCGCGAGGGATGCTGAGCCCCGCCCTTCCACCACGCACCTTGCTCCCTGGAGATGTCCGCCTTGTACCAGAACTTGGAGGTGTCCTGCACGAAGCTCACCGACATCTGCTTTTCGCCTGCGTTGTCTGCAAAACAGAATTGAAGCGGTAACTGTGAAGGGCAGTACTGAAGCTCTCACCTCCCGGGGAACTGAGGGTCAGCCCCACCCTGGGCACGGGCGGGCGGCTACTCCAGGGGGATGCAACAGACGGCGCGATGCCGAGGTTGGGCTCCGCAAACATCCGACTGCGCGTGGTTAGAAGGACGGGCGCAGGGCAAGGCCGGTCACGCACAACGGGGCCAGGACCTTACAATGCACAGTAGTTCGTGATTAACTTCAGAGGCGTTCGTTTAATTTAAAAAACAGAGTGATCCCTCAAGGACACTGGTTTGGGGTGAACAGAGGAACGGAACCACGGCAGACACCTGCACGTCAGCTGCTGGGATGGACCCACGTGGACAGACGCAGGGGCAGAGGGGAATTAGAGGGACCACGGCATCTTGGGCCAGAAGATGGGAAATGCCCTGGACACCCCGATGTGCCTCTGAGGCGCCCAGCCCAGTACGAGAGGTTATGCTGGCTCCCAGGCCCCCTGTGAACCCAGGGGTGCTTCCCGAGTGCTGCCCACTGGAGGGACACACGTACCCGGAGAAGGAGCTGCTGCCTCGGGAGGCTTGGAAAAGTCCGGCAGGACGTTGGGGAAAGGGATGCTCATGGTGCTCCCGCTGTGCGGGCTGGAGAAGCCGCTGGAGGAAGGCGACACCGAGCCCAGGGAGTGGTCCCCCTCCGAGGCCCGCTTCTTCTCGGGGAGGGGCGGCTGCCCCGGCAGCGACAGGCCCGGCCCCTGCAGGACGGGGCTGTGGTGGCCGCCGTGGCCGGGAGCCACCGTGAGAAAGCTGTGCGGCAGGAAGCCATTGTCGACAGCTGCTGCAGCTGTCCGCGGGGTGCCGAGGGGCTGGGACGCTGCGTGGGAACCGGCCAGCAGGGCCCCGGGGTCCTCTCCAGGGGTCAGGCCGCTTCCCACAGGGGCTGTGCCAAAGCCCAGGAAGGCCTGGCTGCTCGGGGGGCCCAGAGCTTCCGGCGGCTCCGCCAGCGACAGCACGTGGCTGTGGAAAGAGGCCTGGAGCTCGGCAGGCGGGAGATGCGGCCGCCCGGGGCTGGGGCTGTCCTTGCCAGGGCCCGGGAACTCGCTGGTGCTGGGGAGGCTTCCTGGGGGCCGGCTGCTCCCCAGCAGGGCCTGCGTGGGTTTGGGGCTGGCGTCCACCCACTGGTGCTCGGCGGACGAGGGGCTGTTCAGGAGACACACCGGTCAGAGGGGATCCGAGACAGCACAGGGCTAAGCCACGGGCAGCCCCGCCCATCACGGCCCCGACCGCGAGCGGCCCCCCGCTGACCTGTCCCTCCGAGAGCCGGGGCTGCTGCTGGCGATGGCGCAGGAGGACCCAAAGGCCCGAGGGAAGGACGGTGCAGAGGGTTTGGGTCCCACGGGGCTCTCTGACATCCCCACGGAGTGACCGAGGACCTCGGGGCAGCCTCGAGGTTCTGCAGCAGGACACAGAGCAGAGGGGCCTGGTTACTGCTTGTGTCTGTGAGGAGCGGTGTCCCTTCCGGAGCTTCCTGCTGCTGAAGCAGGTGCCGGCTCCCCCCGGGGTGGGTGACGCCTGCTGGCTCGGCCCACACGCAGGTCGCCTGGCACCTGCCCTTGCTCGAAGCTTCCATCAGGGAAGCCTGAGCTGCCGTCCTCACTGTGCGAGCCGGGGGGGCCCAGTGTCACCACCCGAGGGCCAGTTTACCCTGAGAGGCTCATGGACCGTGGTGGCCATCAGGACATTTCTCACTTTGGAGGAGGCGAGACCTTCCCTCTGCGAAAGACCACGTTTCATCAAGTGCAGCCGTGGCTGAGGGCACACGGCCCCCAAGGGTCCCCGGGGCTAGAAACTCAGCTCATCCCCCAGGCCCGAGGTTTTCAGGCACACTTCCCGCCTCCAACACCGTCTCCCCCGCAGTGTCCTCACCCCAAGAGGTGCAGCCCACCCTGCCCAGCCCCCATCAGGCAAGAGATGAGAAGCTGAGAGCCCTGAACACCAAGCCCACACACGCCACGGAATCTCACACACTCCACCGACGCGATGCTCTTCTACCTGTGGCCCGGCTCCGTTACTTCTGGGCATTTTAAAACCTTGCCTTTTGTTTTTTTTAAGTAAGCTTTCAGTCCTGGACAAACCTACCACGGTCAGTAAAATAATAGCAAAGGACACGCAATCATTTTTTTTTCTGCTCTGAAACAGGAAGGACTGGGGACAGAGCAGCGACAGTGAGAAAACGTCACGTCACTCAGGGAACTCAGCGCCCAGACGGGATGGCACAGAGGCGAGTCCGACCCCCACAGCCTCGGACTATTCCACTCCGAGCGTGCGGGAGGGAGGCCGAGCAGAAGCCCATGGTCGGGGCTGTGGCGGTCCTGAGGTTCTGGGGAGATAAAGTTGGGGCTCGGAGCTGCCGAGGCAGCCAGGACGTGCAGGCCAAGAGCTCAGAGGAGGGGGCTGCGGAGGACAGAGGGGCACTCGGGGCACAGTCTCCCGCCGGGCGTCCCGACTCCCAAGCTCAGGGGCAGAGCCAAACACGGGCAGCCAAGAGGGTGACCAGGAGGAGGGCTGCTGAGGGGCCGGAAGAGGAGCTGGGTTTGGACCCCCACGGGCCAGAGAAGGACGGACAGATGCCCAGTTCCATGGGTTAGACCTGCAGGCCACACACCTGCGGTGGGTCCACCTGCTTCTTGACACGCGCCCGCCTAAGAGCAGGCAGGATGCGGGCGGCTGCCTTGCACACTTGCTGTTCACAGTTAAACTACGGGCGGAATCTCTAAACAGACGACTGTCTGCTCCGACCCAGTGGCGGGAGGCCTGGGGTGATCACAGCAGATGGGGTGTCCTGTCCGCAAGGGGGTCTTGAGGTGACACTCGCGGAAGCTGCCTTCTGCGTGAACCTGTGCAAGGCTGCCCGTCTCCGCTCCAGACGCCACTGTGGACACACGGGTCCTTCACCAGGTCCGCGAGGGGCTCTGGGGCAGCCACAAGCTTCCTAGGCGAGGCCCCATGGGGACCAGCCCCCGAAGTGTGGGGCACTAAGCCCCCACGGGCCCTGCACATCAGTGCCCCACCGGATCTGGGCCCCAACACGCCTCCTTAGGTCCCTGCATCTCTCCCGAAAGGCCCGTCTCCCTTCCCTGCCCACACCCAGGAGGCTGCTGGGTCCCTCGGTGTTTGGGACTCTGACCATCACTTCCTGGTTGTCCCCGGTGCCAGCGGGTGTCCCGGCCTGGGGACAGGGGCACCCTCTCCCTCGGCCTGGGGTGTGGCCGCCCCTTGCCTTCCCCTTCCTGCACTTCCTTTACCCGGAGGGAGGGTGAGGGAGGGTCACGGGCCTATTTTTATGCTCTTGCTGGAGGAGGTCCGTGGGAGGCCGGATGACCCGGCTCCCTGCCGTCCACTGTTTACATCACGTGTAAGTTAACAGGAAGAAGGGACCACTAGCTCGATGTCTGCCAGAGCCTGCTGTCCCCCGAGCCTGCTGTCCCCCGAGCCTGCTGTCCCCGGAGCCTGCTGTCCCCGGAGCCTGCTGTCCCCCAGAGCCTGCTGTCCCCGGAGCCTGCTGTCCCCGGAGCCTGCTGTCCCC